GCAGGGGCAGTTCTGCCCTGTCCTATAAGGCTGCGATGAGTTGGCCTCGACTCCATGACAGTGAGTGCCGCGGCGTCAATGCCGCTGCTGCATGGCTGGAACAGAATTAACCGTCAACAAAAACCCAAGCCCCATTGCTGCCACGTCAATTCTGACTCCTGAAGACCTCCAAGGAGAGTGGGGCTACCCCAGAGGATTTCCAAGACCGTCACTTATGGAAGCAGATCCCACATCTTCGTCCCTTGGAGCACAATGCCTTATTCTCACCCAAGGTGCAGTTGGTGGCTTTGAACCGTCAACCTTTCCATGAGCAGCTGAGGGTTTACTCAATGAGCCACTCGAGACAGAATTGGAACTCAAGACATGCTTCTCCCCACTCTGTAAGCTCACAGGGCTGCCGTGGAGGCGGGGACAACTCACCGCTGCACAGTCCTGAGCAGATCTGAAGGTCTGTCTGTCTGCCAGGCCCTCCTCAGGGAGAGCCTGGTGGACTGAGGAGTCACTGTGAGGTGAAAATGGCCAGATTGGGGTAAAGTGACCAATATTTTAGAGAGATACAAGACCCTCCCACTTCCCCAGGAAGTGCACTTGGTTGACTGCCTGCCCAGAAGCAGACAGGGGAGGGTGGAGGCAGCCAGCACGAAAGGAAGAGAACTTCTTTTCTGCAGTTGGAGTGGAAGGGTCTTCTGACTTGAAGCCGTGATGATGGTTGTGCGCTGGGCTGCTAACCCCAAGGTCAGCAGTTCAAACGCACCTACTGTTTCTCAGGAGAAAGATGAGGTTTTCTACTATTTACAGCTTTGGAAACCCACAAGGACAGTTCTGCCCCATTCTGTCTTATAGGGTCATTGTAAGGAGGCATAGGCTCCATAACATGGAGTTCAGTGTTGTTGTTTTGGCCGGGGTGTGGGGTGTGGGGGGGTGACTTGAGAGCAGAAGCTTAGCTACAGTAATCCTCTGGTCTGAGACATGAACTTTGCAATTCTAGCCGCCCCCCTCTGCTCCATGCGGGGTCCCTAAGTCTCTTTCTCCTCCTGATGCAGTCAATGTGAAGGTCACCTACACAGAAGGGCTTTCAACAGAATTTGGTCTGCCTCAATGGCGTTTCCCTTTTTCAACCCCTAAAACTATGCCCTAGGTTGGCCGACCAATGAGTCTCTGGGGACTGGAGGATATGTCTCCTGCTTCCCAGGTTAAACCTGTTCTGGGATTTCCAAGAGTGTTACCAGGACATGGTCCATTTCTGATTTTAGAGGACCAGCAATGATTTGGGATAACCCCGTATTCTCCAGGGAGCAGCAAAAGGGGAGGGCAGGAGATCAGAAGGGTACCCCAGCTGGCCCTAAACCCAAGAGCCTTCGGTATTCACAGGAGCCGAAAGGGAGGCGGGGCGAAGGCGGGGCTAGTAGGTTTAACCCTCTATGTCTGGAGATGGGATTTGTATTGCGTAGGCAGGAGCATGGGCCAGCGTGCCTGTCCAGGCCTAAAATAGGACCTCCAATCCCTTCGTGAAAATGATGTTCCCTTTCGCAAAAAATTTCCTGAGAGTCCCCTGGACCCAAGTACCCACCTGAACCCTGAAAAGCTGTCCCTGCACCCAAGGCCTTTTAGGAGTGGCTCCTGCCTTTGGGGGCCCCTCTGAAGTCCCCTTGCTCCCATCCCCGTTGGTAAGCGGGATGCAGAGGAAACCGACTCTCGTGCCGCTGGACCTTGGGTCTTAAACCGAAGGGAGGGGGCGGAGTAAGTGAGAAGGCCCCACTCGGCGCTGTCTCCGTTGCCCTTTTAAGGGCTCGCTGGGCGCCGAGGGACACTAGTGGCTACCGGTCCCCGTCGATGCTACCCAAGTGGAAAGCGAACAAGGATAGCAGGCTGTGCGTTGTCATCCAAACCACCACATATATGCTGTTGTTGTGGGCTCCAAACGTTTCTATACTAAGAGGTAATAGGACAGCCCTTGGGGGGCCAGACGGTTTGTGCTTGACTGCTAACAGGGAGGCTTGAGGTTCAAACCCACCCAGTGGTCCCTTGCAAGAACGGCCCAGCGAGCTATTTCCACAAGATCGCAACCAAGAAAACCCGATGGAGCTCAGTTCACTGTAACGCTCCAGGTCTCCAAGAGTTGGAATCCCCTCCCCAGCAGTATTTTAGTTTGTTTTAATAGCGAATAGAAAAGGTTTTAAGAACAGAGCTTTGGCCCAGAGAATAGGAAGACAGTTGCACGATAGCTGTTGGCGGCCCCTGCTGGCCATTACCTGAAGTGCAACATCACTCAAAGGGCAGGGGAAAGTCTGACATCTGCTGAGAGAGACACTGCCTGCACCTGGGTGGCCTCTGGAGCAGAGGCAGGGAGGGAAATAACTATTACAGGCCCCAGAGAGGGATGACTCATTCCCAACTAACTGGGACCAACCCCTAACTACCATGGCATGCATGGAGGACCCTCTCAAAGCTACTCCATTTCCCACCAGGAGCCTCCCTATTCCTTTGGGGCCCTAGTTTAAAATTCTTACTGTACCCCTAGTGTGACATTTTGTGCCACCACGTCTATGGGAGGAGCCCTGGTGGTACCATGGACTGCCGAAAGAGCAGACAAGTCTGTCTTGGAAGAAGAAGAGCCAGAATGCTCCGTAGAGGCAAGGAGAAGATCCTGCCTGGCACTTCCTTTGGCCAGTCCCAGTGCTGGGCCTTGGCCCCAAGAAGCCAGGTGGCTTGGAGCTCCTGCAGGATGGAGCCCCTCCCCAACTTTGTCCCCAGATACCTCGGAGAGGAGCAGGGCATCGGAAGGGCCAGGGTGACTGAGCCTCACTGTGTCACTGCGGTGGGCAGGAGAGAGTCCTGCGTGGATGTGGGCCTGAGAAGCTGGCGGCCAGGAGGGCTGGAGGGAAAGTTGGGTAGGGACTGGCTCTGGGGAGTGGGGCTCCCTGCACCCCAGGAAAGGGTTATGACCAGGACTGAGGGACTGAACCTGGGGAACTTTAGACCAGACACACACCGGTCTCTGAGCCCCAACATCCAATCATTGTCTAAACACGTGCCCTCTTGCCAGCCTTTCTCTCTCTGCAGGTGACTCGGGTACTTCTGTGGTAGTTATCCATTCAGCTCTCACAGGACCTTGCGGTAGCAGTTTCCAGTTTCCAGCGCCTGGTCCCCTCCCTTCTGTCTCCACCTCGGTACAACCTTGTAGCTCCTTGGCCCAGCACAGGGCGCAAGTGTGTGCTCGCACAAGCAACACACTCCTCGCCCCCTGGTTGCCATGCCAGCAGGGAAGAACCTTGCTCTTCCCTCCTGGTCTCCCCACAGGAATTCAGATGACCCCTCTGGTTCTCAGGGCATGAGCTTGCTGTTTTGGACCCCTTCACTCCTTCACCACTGCCCCCTCTGGTCCCACTTCTCTCTGTCTCTGCTCCGTCCAGTGTTTTAACCTAATGGCTGATGGGGGTGGGGATAGATCTTCCTCTCCCTCCCAGGGTCTGCACTGACTTCTGAAGCTCTCCCCTGACCCCAGGCTCTGTCCTTGAAGCCTACCCCACCACTCCTCGCCTACCTGGCACAGCCAGACCATGGCCATGGGCTGCCTGATTCTGGCCCCCCTCACTTGGTGCTCACATAAGCAGGGCATTGATGGGAGAGGTAGGTGAGTGGGTGGCATAGCTAGGACTGGGCAAAGTGCCACTAAAGGGTGTGTGGGCATCAGGAAGGGACAGGCTGTCTGTACCAGCTACCCGGGACTCTAGAAACCCTGCAGGACCTGGGGTCAATCATGGGCAAAGCAGTCAGCCAGAGACAGGGTTTACTGCCCACTGACCAGCTGGCATCTGCCCAGATCTGGTCCCAGACAAGAACCTCACTTACAGAGCATCTTCTGGGCCCCTGTCCCTGGCAGCCACTTTGCACCTGCCCTTGACCTCCATCCTCTCCAAGCCAGAGCTTGTCGTACTTTATACGGATGAGGGAACTGAGCCCTAGAGAGACTGTCTCACACCCTAAGGACAGGCATT